TTACAAGTGTCTTGACCTTGATGGAGCAATGTTGAAAAATAAAGTTAAATTTTTTAATTAAGTTTATATTTTTCATTTTATCTCTTAATTAATTTTCTGTGAACTTTATGAAGTCCCCTCATGTATGTGCACACATGCATGCGCACGCACACACACATAGAGATCGAGATGAAGGGGTATGGGGGATATGGTATTGGCACATGTGGTTATGGAAGCTGAGAAGTCCTATGATCCACTGTTCTGCTGTCTGCAAACTGGAGGCCCAGGAAGGCCAGTGGTATAGTCCAGAGGCCTGAGTGCCAGAGAACAGATGGTATAGATTCCAGTCAGGATCTAAAGGCCTAAGAACCAGAAGCATTAAGGGCAGAACATAACGTTCCAGCCAAGCAGTCAGGCAGAAAGCAAGCAAATCCTCCGTTTCTCCACCTTTTTGTTCTATTCAGGTCCTCAAAGAATCAAATGATGCCCATCCATTAGGAGGAAAATCTACTTTACTCAGTCTACTGATTCAAATACTAGACTCTTCTGGCAACATCCTTAAAGTCATACAGAATAATGTCTAACCAGATAGTTGAGGATCCTGTGATCCAGACAAGCTGACACATACCATCTATCATATGAATCATCTTCAAATGGATCGCAACCTTCTGTCAATTTATGATCGATTCAATGCAATTCTAGCATAAAAATCCCAACAGTGCTTTTCATTGAACTTTACAAGCTAATTCTAAAAGTTATGTACAAGAAAAAAGGTACAATAATAAGCAAGATTTTACGGAAAAAGATCATGGTGTCTGGGTGGCACTATGTGGGAAGGCAGCATATTTGCCATTCCATATATCAAGACGTATTATAAAAATATAGTAATTGAGACAATATTGACACAGGATAAGCAAATAGACCAGTGGGACATAACAGGCAGCACACAAACAGACCCACACATAAAAAAGATAAAAGCCCACCTTGATATACGACTATGGCAGCATGGTAGCTAAGTGTAGAAAGGATGGGCTATTTGATAAAAGGTCTTGGAACAATTCATTATTCATATGGAAAAATGTTAAATAGGATCCCTAGCACCATAGAACCCACTGTAAACAAAAGTGAATTTCATGCGGATTAATTGCTTTAAAATGAAATGTGCATAAGCTTGACCTAATGAGAAAATCAGGATGAGACAAGAAAAGGTGGAGTAAAAAATAAAGCTCACTTACTCTTCACCCCTTACTGGGTATATTAGTTTTCTCTAGCTGCCATAACAAATTAACACAAATTTAGCAGCTTAAAACAACATAAATTCATTATTTCATAGCTCTGTAGGGCAAAAGTGGCATGAATCTTACTGAGCTAAAATCAACGCATTAGCATGCCTGGTTGCTAGGCTGTGTTCTTTTCTGGAGACTGTTGGGGAGACTCTGTTTTTATTTATTTCTTTATTTGCTTGTGGGTTTATTATTTTTATTTTTTATTTTGAGTAGGAGTCTCACTCTGAAGCCCAGGCTGGAGTGCAGTGGCATCAGGCCACTGCAGCCTCCACCTGATGGGCTTAGGTGAAAACTTCAGTCTTCCAAATAACTGGAACTATGGATGCACCCCACCACAACCGGTTAATTTTTTGATTTATTGTACACATGAGGTCTCCTCAAGTTGTCCAGGTTGGTCTTGAACCTCTGGACTCAGGCAATCATCTCACCTCTGCCTTCCAAAGTGCTGGGATTACAGGTGTGAGCCACCACGCCTGGCTGAGACTTTGTTTTTACACACATTCAGTTTGTTGGCATTATTCAGTTCTATGCAATTGTAGAAACAAAGTTCTTGTTTCCTTACTGTCTGTCAGCTGAGAGAGGCAGCCCATATTCTTTGACTTGTGGCCCTTTTCTTCTGTCTTCAAAGCCAGAAATGGAGGATTTAGTTCATCTCATGTCTCATTTCTCCTGCCTTCTCTTCTGCCAAATCTCGAACTTTTCCGCCTACTTCTATTTTTATCTCCCCATCTCAATGTCTCTAATATTAATCACATGTACAAAGCCCCCTTTGCTACACAGTGTAACATATTCACAGGTTCTGGGGATTAGAACATGGGCAACTGTCGGGGACCAATATTCTGCCTACCACACAGGGAAATCTGTTTCACGTTTGCACTAACACAAAGCTTGAGCATCTACACAGTGTCTCGGTCCAGCGGCAAGGGCAAAGGGGAGACTAGGTAGAAAGTATCTCCTGTCTTCTCATATCCTTTCTGCTTACTTGTACTTAATTATTGGGTTTTCCTTACTAGGATGCATGAGGCTGAAGCAAACAGGAAGATGAAGAAATTAGAATCAATTTCTTAACACCCAATACTAATCTAATAACTGGAACAAATGCCTTTTCTCTGCCAGCTCCTGAACCATCTAAAGTTTAGAGAAGAGATAAAAAGGCAAGAAAAAAGTGGGAGCAAAATATAAAGTCATTTTTAAAAAGAGCATCATATTTCCCCCTTCCTTAAGAAATCAACCCAAGAAATTTCCATACTTGGGGGTGATAAATGAGGGGAAGAGCCTAGTCCATCTGAGTCATTTACTGGATGTCATTATGTACCGCACACAGCATTACACGATTTACAAACCTTTCTTAAATCTTGAACACTACCTGTATGGCATATGTGTATAGTCATTACCCTGTAAATGAGAAAAGTCAGGTTCAGAATGATGGTCATTTACCTGAGGGAGCAAGTGTCAGAGTTGGACATAAACCTAGATCTGCCGGCTGCCCCAGCCCAAGAAAACATCCTCTCCCTGACTTCCCCTAACAAGAAGGCAAGATTAAAGCTTGTTATAATCCTCAAACTGTACCCTTCAGTGTCTTCAAGTAGCAGTCTTAGTGCTATTGCCCTCTTTCCCCAACCTTTCTCTTACCCCAGATGTTACAGTGACTTCTTAATGCCAGTCTGGAGTTATTTGCCTTCTTGTAATAATTACATATTTATTTTTTCTGTGCAATCACCCCCAGACTGATTTTGTTATTATTCGGGCTAATTCTTTTGTGATGAAATACTGGACTGTGGGCCTTAATTTTCTTTTATTTCTTTTCTTCTTCTTCTTTTTTTAATTAGATAGTATCTCTCTATGTTGCCCAGGCTGGTCTCAGACTCCTGGGTTTAAGTGATTCTCCTGCCTCAGCCTCTCAAAGTGCTAGGATTACAGGTGCAAGCCACCACACCCAGCTTCTTTCCCCCTTTTTAAAAAGAGACCACTCTCTTGAGGTCTGATTGAGATACAAAAATCTGTATTTAATAAATACAACTTTATGAGTTTGGAGATAAGTCCTTTTTCTTCTCTTTCTTTGTTTTCTTCTATTTTAGCAGTAGCCTCTGGATGAATCTCTGTTCAGATTTACAGGAACAAGGTGACCTAGTTATTACCATAGAGCCCCTCTCACTGTCATTTCTGTCTCTTCAAGGAGTTATGGTTATCAGAAAAAAAGCCAATTAACAACCTCTGCTTTATTTCTGTAGTGAGAATGAATCAACTCTGAAATTTCAGCATGAAATCCCAACGCCTTACCAAAGGTACAAGGCCCTGTTGCCTTGCTCCTGCCTATCTCCTTGGCTGCATCTTGTCACTATACACCCCTTACTCTGCTCCAGCCACACTGGCCACATGTACTCTGATCCAGCCACACACTAGATCTTGCATGGTCGCTCCAAACCCACTGCTCAAAGTTCACCTCCAGTCTTCCTACCCCTAGCCCCGTGAGCTTCTGAGCTCTTGAAATGCTAGTCTGAACTGAAATGTGCTGGAAGTAGAAAATATACACCAGATTTTTAAGGCTTAGCAGGAAAAAAAAGAATGCAAAACATCTCATTAATAATTCTATATTGATTACATATTGAAATAATAATATTTAAACATACGTTGGGTTGTTATTACAATTAACTTGACTGTTTCTCTTTACGGTTTACAACGTGGCAATTCAAAACTTGAAAACTGCATTCACGGGTCACACTCTATTTCTCTTGGACAGTGCTGTTCCACCTCCTGATCTCACTCTTTCTCTTCTCTGTGGCACTTACACTGCGTGGAATTCCAGTATCCGTGCTCACCTGTTTAGTGTCTTTCTCAGCCAAATAGAATGTAAGACAGGAAACCTGCCTGTCTCATGCACAACTGATTCCCAGTCACCTAAGAGCCTGAAGGATAGTAACAACTCAAAAACTTGTTTAGTTTTTAAGTTGGGGGTCTCTGTCGCCCAGGCTGGAGTGCAGATCAAAACTCACCACAGCCTCCAACTCGTGGGCTGAAGGACTCCACCCTCCTCAGCCTCCCAAGTAGCTGGGATTACAGATGTGTGCCACCACGGCCAGCGAACTTTTTAATTTTTTTGTAGAGACGAGGTCTCACTCTGTTGCCCAGGCTGGCCTCAAACTCCTGAGTTCAAGCGATCCACCCTCCTTGGCCTCCCAAAGTGCAGGGGTTACAGGCAGAAGCCACAGCACCTGGCCTCAATAAATGTTTTTTGAATGAATGACCTTACTCTTCTTTCTCAGTTGAAGACAGTGAACTCTGTCGTCCCCCTAGCACTGACCCCGTGCCCTTGACCGTGGGAGCAGGACTGGTGGGATACCAACACTTGAAAAAAACCTCCTTCTCCCTCCAGGGAACTGTTCATACAAAGCAAAGGTGACAGAATGAGCACCCTGGCTCCTCGATCCTCTTTCCGCTGGAAGACACCCCCCCAAGGCCCGTCCCCGGGCACTTCTCACTCCCGCCGCACGGCGGCGTCTCGCGGGAGTGCGGCGGCCGATGGTACAGTCCGTCCACCCCGCGCTCCCTGGCCAGTGAGCTCTTCCAGTCGTAGAAAAGCATTGTGGGAAAGCGGGGCGGCCTTTCCTGCCTTTCGCGCGGGTTTCGGGCTGCTGCTCTGCGGGCCCG